AAGAGTGTTAAGGAGGAGAGTAATTAGGTATTAGCCGCTAGGCTCTTGCGCGCTGTAAGAGGTATAGAGAGACTAGGTATAACTCTTCTATATATAAGAAAGGTACCTAAAATACTACTTAATCTACTCTATTAATATTTATATATTACCCTATAAGGTGGTTGAGATTTACGGGTGAAGAGGTGCGTAAAGTTAGTAGGGTGTGGTGCTCACTTATACGCGGCGCTCCCTTGTAAAGCACGTTATAGATACGCGTAGTAGAAGCTCGCGTAGCGTTTTGGCGAGGCGAGGCACGGGCCAGCTCAGAAGCCAGTGGAGCCAATCAGCATCCGAGAAACGAGAACCTGGGTAGGGTGGACTTGCGATTAATACTCTAGGCGTTTGGAAATACCGTATGGTGATACCCAACGGAAAGAGCAGTCATGTACAATCTGTAGTATCTTGGTATCTTGGAAGCCAGTTCTTATACAAAGACTCGTTAATGGATGGCACCTGTAGCATATGTGATACTTGGCATGCGTGGTGGTTGAAGTAGGTTCAGCATCCTCGGATTAAATGCGGAAGTCCGACTATTCCGGGTCGGACTATCACGACATCCTCATGTATGCAGGTTCACAGGTATAAGAGCTCAAATGCGCTCAATTGATGACCCAAGTTCACTCAGCAGTACAAATAAGCCAACGTCTTTCCGGCAAGGCGTATTTCCTGGCCTTCCTCGGTGACCATAATGCTCTCCAAACGTGCCACCCTCAGCGCCTCCGACCTCGACATACCCTGGCGATATGTCGACCCAGGCCCGCAAGGACGCTACGATCCTGATACAAATTCCTCAGGCGTCATAACGCAGTTCACAAGCGCAGAGAATTATCTTGTGCAGAAGGAGGTAACTGAATACGTCAAAGCAAATGTCGAGATCCATGAGCAGGTCTTGGGCTACATCTACAGCACTGCTGGTGGTAAAGAGCTTCCTGCGGCGCTAGCGGCGCACTTGAACGAGTATTGGAAGCCATGGAAGCCACTGAGTGGAGAGAATATCAGGATAACTGGGGCGGCGACGGCGTTGCACGAGATCTTGGGGTTTAGTATTGCGGATCCAGGACAAGGTGCGTTGGGGATTTGTACGAGACTAACTCTCGTACAACAAAAGCAAGTACTTATATTTGGAAGGAATCATGACCAGCAGGCCTTATTATGGCCGCTTCGAGCTGGACTTTGGAATGAAGGCTGGACTGAGGATTGTTGCTGCGGATACACCAGTGGAGACATGTCTCCAACCTGGTGTCATCGATGCCTTTGAAGAAACGTTGCGGAAGGCGAAGGCTGAGGGCATCGAAGTCAGGGCGCTGCTCATCGTCAATCCGCACAATCCTCTAGGTATGCAAGCCACCTTTGCTCTGAAGCAATATACCACATGTTGACGATGCACAGGTCGATGCTATCCCAAAGAGACTCTTATCGGACTCATGCGCTTTTGCCAGAAACACAATATCCACCTCATCAGCGACGAGATCTATTCTTTCTCAGGATTCGACTCTACCGAGCCTGGCACGACTTGCTTCACTTCGGTGCTCTCGCTCGAACCACAGATAGATGAAGGCCTACTGCACGTAATCTATGGTATGGCCAAAGACTATGCCGTCCCGGGTCTGCGCCTCGGAGCGCTCATCACACGCAGCGGACCACTTCTCAGGGCGGTGAAGTCTCTGATTCGTTTCCATAACCCCTCGGGTCCCTCGGTTGCCATTGCGACGGCCATGTTGTACGATCGTACTTGGATGCGTTCGTTTATAAAGATGAACCGGGAGCGAGTGGGCGAGGCGTACAAGTACTTTACTGAACGCCTTTCGCGGATGGGCGTGAGGCATCTATCTCATGTCAACGCTGGGCTTTTTGGGTTCGTTGACCTATCGCCGTGGTTGAGTGAGGATGTGGGGCAGGGAAAGGCGGCGCGGGAGCAAGAGTTGGCACAATGTGCGCTGGATGAAGGGTTGTTCCTGCAACCGGGCGAAGAGCATGCGTTCGAGGCGGGTTGGTTTAGGTTGGTCTATACGGTGGAGAGGAGGGTGATGGACGAGGGACTGAGAAGTTAAGTCTGCCGAGAAGATTGTGAGACCGTGGGTGCTAACATCAAGTAGGCTTGAAAGGGTGATTGGAGCCTGATCCCAAGAAGGTGTCACATGTCTCGATCCGAAAACACTCATAGCTATGGCTTCCAACAGAGTTGACGTAGACATATGCAAGGGCCGTGATGGATTTCGCCTGTGCTGGTGCGGGAGTACACCGAGTCTTTCCACGTGGTGCTAAAGACGTCCATCGGGTAATCTTTCCAAAGTCGCTAGCGATTATGTCGAGGACATTGCACAGAGACATATACAACCTGAAAGTTTTGGGATTTCAAATAGAGAACGTTAAACCACTTGATCCGGACCCTTTGACAGCACCACGCTACCCATGTATCTACTGGATTGATCACTTGTGCGAGTCAGAACCTAGGTTTTGGGTAGATAGTGTTGGCGACCAGCACGCTAAAGAAGATGTTGATGAGTTTTTAAGAGAACAATATCTTTACCGGCTGGAAGGGCTTAGTCTGTGCAATAGCTTAGAGAAGGGCGTTGTTTCAATGACAAAATTTTGGTCTCTAGTGCAGGTAGGTAGTACAGAATCTACATATCTGTGTAGTATAACTTATTCGCTAACATAACTAGGGGCTACGGGACGAAGATAAACTTTCGCCACTCGTTCAAGATGCACAGAGATTCATTATGTATCACAAAGGGGTTATCGAGGGGCATCCACTACAGACATATGCATCTGCGTTATTGTTCAGTCCTACAGGTAGTCTGATCAGACGAATATTTCAGCACGAAGAGCCTAAGCAAATCACTATTAAGCCAGCGTTAAGCGACAATTGGAGTGCGTGCCTGCAGATCCTCGAGGGCCATAGCAGTTCTGTCAACTCAGTGGTCTTCTCGCCCGACTTGGCGAGGCTGGCGTCGGTGTCGTACAACAGGACCGTCAAGATCTGGGATGCGAGCAGCGGCGCGTGCTTGCAGACCCTCGATATCGGCAAGGTTCTTCTAAACTTATCGTTTGACTCTACTGGCTCTTTTCTTTATACTGCAATAGGCACTATCGACCTTCAAAGTGCAGAATCGTCTGATGTAAAAGATATCGCGGAGCCTGAGCGTCCTCTGTACGTAATCACCAGCCTTAATCTAGAAGGTATATGGATTAAGCATGCTGGCGAGAACATGCATTGGATGCCATCAAAGTATCGACCGTCTTGCTCGTCTATAAGCGAGACGATTGTAGGCATAGGTGCTGGATCTGGAAGAGTAACGTACCTGGCAAGCGAACGCGCCACCCTATCAATAGCAATGGCTCAACCATCTAGTATCCAATCACCCTGCAATGAAGCAAATATAATCCTAGCTATCTCAGCTCTTAATCGCAAGCAAATTGAAAGTGAGAGATATGCTGCTTCTACTTATAGTGTCTCGCGACGAACAATAAATCGACAACGAAATGGAATCGCTGCGCGACGCGATTGCCAGCCCAACTCAAAGAATCTTACCAAGCTAGAAGAGGAGGTAATTACTAGGAACATACTTGACCTAGATGCGCGTGGATTTCCGCCCACTCTAGGTGCTGTGTGAGATATGGCGAATAAGTTGCTCGCTGAGCGCGACGCTGGCCAGGTCGGCGAAAAGTGGCCTAGGAACTTCGTCAAGCGAACAAAAAGCCTTACTACACGATTCAATCGACCGTACGATCGACAGAGAGCCCTGTGTGAGGACCCTGAGGCTATTAGGGCCTGGTTAGACCTTGTACCGCGCACAAAAGCTACCTATAGTATCTACGACGAGGATACCTATAACTTCGACGAGACTAACTTTATGATGGGTAAGATATCAGCTCAGCTCGTTGTCACAGGATTAGAGAGACGCGGCAGACTAAAGGCTATGCAGCCAGGCGATCGCAAGTGGGTTATAGCAATCCAAGGAATCAACGCTACTGGCTGGGCAACCCCACCCTTCATCATCTTCCCAGGCCAGTATCACCTCTCTACCTGGTACGAGGATGATAATTTACCACGCAACTGGGCTTTAGTAGTTAGCGATAACGGCTAGACGACTAATAAGCTTAGGGTAGAATGGCTAAAGCACTTTATCAAGTATATAGTAGAGCGTAGGGTAGGCGCGCGCCAGCTACTCATACTTAATAGTTATAAGAGCCATAACTCGCTCGAATTTCAGGCGCTATATAGGGAGAATAATATCTATACTCTCTATATGCCGCCGCATTCATCGCACCTCCTATAGCCACTTAATGTTAACTGCTTCTCGCCGTTAAAGCGTGCATACAGCCGCTAGATTAAGAGCCTAATACGCGACCACATTAACCACATTACAAAGCTTAAGTTCCTACTAACCTTCTGCGCTACCTACGAGTAGTTAATTATAAAGGGGAATATATGCATAAGCTTTTAAGGCGCTAGCCTAGTCCCATATAACCTAGAGGTGGTGATATTAAAGCTTAATATTAAGCTTCATACGCCAACACCGCCTACGCCAGAGGTCACTATATGGGAAGCCAAAACATGAACTAGAGGCTTAATCCACTTAGATTTATAATAAGATTTAGAGGTATAAGAGCTCATCGCCTACTTTTATTATTAAGGCCCTTAATTAGCTTAAAAAAGGTACTAAGGTAATGGTGCACTTAGCTATGCTTATATATAAGTAGATCGCGAGGCTTAAGTAAGTAAATAAGGTAGCCATAATATATAAATAGTGAAAGAAGAAGTGGATCTAGTAGTAAGGCACCTTAATAAAAGTAGAGGTAGAGGAGATTATTACTTAAATAGACGTAAGGCGTAATTAGGGGTAAGGCGGTAGGCTTTAGTGCGCTATAGCTACTATAGGTAGGCTGGCCATAATTCACGAATATATAAGAATGATACTAGAGATGTTACTTAAACTATTATAGTAATTATATTCTATTATCTTATTATGTTATTAAGATAGATTACTATAAAGATGTAAAAGTATAGTAGGGTGGCGCGTTTACTTACTAGGTACGTTAGTAC